CAGCGCAGTGAAAATTAGATTCACATGTAATGCTTGAAAACATGTCAGCAAAAATAAATTAAGTGAAATGCTACGTGACTTCATAATAGTTGGAAATGAACACATTACACCCGACCCTACCACTCCATATACAATGTAAACTACACCCCAAAACATCCTTTCACCCACAGTTACTACCGTGTTTCACCAGTGTATTCTATTTGACGTCAGGAGAAATTGAAATAAACAAATTAATTATAATTTCAGCGTCTAGTTGACCACTGATTAAATAAACTACCTCGTCTTTATGTCAACTTGCAGTTATTCGTTGCCTACATCAGTGACTTCAAAATATATGTTTCAATCCCAGGAATTTCACTCGCTGTTAATTGCATGGGAGTGGCAGTCTTTAATGAATTTCTATTGTCATGTCAATTTCTTGCGATTACTCGAACATTAAGCTGTAACCACATACCGCCTAGGTGCTGTAATTAAATCCTGGTGTAAGCACCATATGAACTATGAACAATGCATGTGAAGCCAGCTGTGGGGTATATTCAATCCTATAGATTTCTCATTGTTTGGTAACTATTTGCTGCAAATGCAGCAAAAATCAATATAAAAAATATTACCCACACAGTATTCTACAGGTTACTTGTTTATTAAATAGTGGTTTGATCGTGTGGAGGGGTTTCCCGGTTTACGGAACTCATTGTCATAACCACGGGCGCCATTACTTTTTCTAGATCCGGAATGGTGCGGGGTCAATGGCGGAAACTCTAAAAAATAAAACCATGAAAGCCTATTTTTAGCCTATGTTAAAGTTCGTTGGCATTTATTCGATGGAATCATTGTACCAATTTTGTAGATAGAAGCCCTAATTTATGTAATTCTGATTGGGCTCGAATATTAAAGGGCGCCAGTCGTCGTGCCGCGTCCTGTTCGATATGGGACTCATAAGGACGTATACAACGCGTGTAAAATACATTGTTTATTTACATGAAATTCGAACACGCGCTGCGGGACGACTACCGCGCTTTAACAATCAACATCACATTCTATTGTTGTAGTTGTTGTTGTTGTTGTTGTTGTTGAAATATAGTCACATCGTGTTTTTTTTTATGTTGCAATTAAATGTGCGTTTATTGTGTGTGTTTATGTAACCTTAAGTATGATTAAATGTTTTTTGTTCTGTAGAATAAATCATTACTATTATAGATCAACCACTAAAGTTTGTTTGTTAGTTTGGTCGATCGCTGGCATTCGATCTAATAAACAGAGAGAAAGTAATTATCACAACTAATTGTTTCAAAAGTGTTACAAAATAATTACAATTTGGACATACTTCGGTTATCTTCCTTGTAAGCTTGTATTAAAGCGCATGCGCGGGAATTGAGTTCCAAGCGACGATAACAACAGACGCTAAACACGCAAAGGCTCATGGGTAGACACTTGTACACATGTGCAGGTGACGAATCCCCCGCTTTAAGATAACTGAAAGGAATTGCGTCATTATCGACCCAACAAACCCGTTTCCTTCAGTTTTATGAAATAAATTTCACAGTTCAAACTAACAAATTAAGGCTTTCTATTTGCCGATGGAATAACAGTAGATAATTTCAATATACGTCATCATGCACCGCGCTTGTTGATTGGCTACTTCTTGGATTCAAAAGTCATTGATATTTATAAATATTCAGTCGGGACTGTGTACAAATGAGGGGAACGGGTTTGTCATCTCGGGTGTGTTGTGTAAATGTAAAAAAAAATCTGACAACTATTTTATAACTACGTATACTTTTCTCATCATATAAACAGCATTTTGGGATTTGGAAACCAGTGGTATTTTGTGTGAATTAAAATGGTTTAGTTACAATATATTTTTTATCTATGTTTTGTGATTAATGGCATAAAATAACAACATTTAGTAAAAATCTGATAATTAAATAGTGCGTATCTAGCTTAACGGTCGTTTGCTCGTATGTAGGGGTTTCCCCATTTACAGCTCATTAGCATATCCCGGTCGCCATTACTTTTCTAGATCCGGAATGGTGCGGTAAGTGGCGGAAATTTGCCGATAGTTGTGCAGAAAGGATAGGTACGCCAGTATTTTATCTGGCTGTACCGAAGATGGAAGATGGTGTAAGAATCATCCTATAAAGTCCAGAACTATTGGCTCTGGTGAGTAATACTAAAAACACGGTAAATTACTGCGTCACGTTGTATGATGACCTGTCCTTTTCAAGTTATGACCTTGCTTGGTTGGTGTGACATGGGCTTTTCCCTCCCATCAGAGGGGGGAATTTCCGCCCATTTTTCGAACGTAACCTGTTTCATTGAGACCTAGACCAACTTGTAGAATTCTGTACTGCGATGATGAATTTTTCACGGCTAAATTATACGAATAGAGACGTTTGCTACTTCCGCTTTGTTGTAGCTAGTTTGCTAACGATTGTTGTCGTATTATGAAAAACTGGGAGTAGGCTGAAAAAAATTATTGTTTTACATTGTTTGTTTACCCATAATTCGCACACTTGCTGCATAATGATTGTAGTGCTTTATTATACCTTGGATGTGAACCATACTAAACTCTCAGATGGTTTCACTCATGTAGTAATGTTGTTACAATTCTACAGTGTTGCTTTTGAGAAGTAGGAAAGAGGCAGACATGTTGTGTCATTGCCTTACAAGGTTATGATACTATGGTGACGGGCATGAAACTGGGCTTGTTATAACTGGTTTATAATTAGCGTTGACGCATAGCTCCTTAGCACGAGCTAAGAGGTCAAATACTTTAGCCTGTGCTAAGAAAATGTGTGAACGTTTAGCACAGGCTAAGAAATTGTAAATACGGATTAAACCTGGTCCCGGTCCAGATCCTTAGCTTGGGCTAAAGATGTGATTGTGATTGCTGAGTTTGGGCTAAGTGCCCAAAACCGAATTGAATTCAATGTTCATTTGTATATACATTTCTGTATGTCGTTCCTGACATGACAATCAACGCAAGTACATTCTAGAGATATTGTTCTTTAGACTCAGCTATGCTGCAATCTGCATTTTCTGAATTTGCTTTGGTATTGTTTTACAACCACAGAACTAATTTGTATACTTTTCTAGTTACAGTACTTAGTAAACATAGTTAAAGTGACTGAAGATTTTCGTATATATTCCTAACAAGTTTGGGCATTCATTAGCCCATACTTATCACAGTTTTCTTCTGTGTGTCAACACAAGTGGGTCTGTCTGATATGCAAACATATGAGATTAGCTTAAAGGGCGACAGTCGTCGTGCCGCGTCCTGTTCGATATGGGACTCATAGTGACGTATACAATGCGTGTAAAATACATTGTTTATTTTCGAATGCGCGCTACTGATGACCACTGCGCTTTAAATCTTAGCCCATACTTTGTGTAGCATGAATACTACTATTACTGTTAGATGAAGACATTATGGGCATAAATAATTGCAAATCACAATTCAATAAATATTGGAATTTGAATGGAAGCTTTTAATCAATATTTAAATATTGTTATACCGTACCTTCCTGAGCATAAGCCCCTTCCCGAGTATACGTTTTTAGACATTTAACGAGTTGAGAGCTTCCCTGACTATAGGCCCAGGGTATAAATAATTGCAAATCACAATACAATAAATATTGGAATTTGAATGGAAGCTTTTAATCAATATTTAAATATTGTTATACCGTACCTTCCTGAGCATAAGCCCCTTCCCGAGTATACGTTTTTAGACATTTAACGAGTTGAGAGCTTCCCTGACTATAGGCCCAGGGTATAAATAATTGCAAATCACAATACAATAAATATTGGAATTTGAATGGAAGCTTTTAATTAATATTTAAATATTGTTATACCGTACTTCCCTGAGCATAAGCCCCTCCCCGAGTATAAGTTTTTAGACATTTAACGAGTTGAGAGCTTCCCCGACTATAGGCCCAGGGTGTTTTCCTGAGCGTCGATGACGTTTATTAAAAAATATGCATATAAAAAGTGTATTTCATTGCATAATAATCGTGATTGGTATGGTAGTTTGGTTCCTGCTTTTACGATAAGACTCGCATTAATTTCAGAGTGCATGGTGGTAGAACGTTCGGAACATGGTTCGCACCTTTTCTATTCTGTTATTTACTCAGGATGAAGCCCGATGTTGCAACACTAAAGTAATTCATATTTCTTTTGAGTAGTAGTTTTCAAAATGCCAAAAATGTGACCGTCAAGTCATGAAACCTGGTCATTGAACATCGTTTTACTTTTCTGAATAATCTTGTCCATTGAGTCTATCGTGAATGGGGTGTGAATGAGCAAACTATTCTTTGACATGACTAGTTGGCGACGGTAAAAGGTTTAAATACTTTCTCAACCCTCAGTTTACCTTTCAAGAATTGTGAATCAGCTTTTGGGGATAAAATGTTAACAGATCGCATTTTGACATCGCTTGTAATTCACTTCCGCATTGTGTTGAGTACTTCGTAAATAATCAAAAAACTTCAACCGTACGACACAGCATTTCAATTGGTCAATGAAATACGTGACCTATTAGGTCAAAGGAAGGTGTTCTGGTCAAATCATTATAAAAAACATCATGGCGGGAATTGCTTTGTATCTAGAATTTGCGTACGATCGAAAACATTCCACAACGAAGATAATGATAAAGATCTTGCCTTCAACTGTTTCCCGACAAACCCTACCCATTTTTGCACCGTAAATTCAGACGTTGTGTAAACCGTATTGTAATAAAATGTGTGTATTTAATTTTCATGAACATGTTTGTTTTGTCATCGCAAAAAGTGTTGGAAATCATGACGACTCGTTTCGCAAAAAGACGTAAAAATATAATTTGGATAATTGTTTCGTGGCTGGGAAGATGGTTACAATTTCACCCCCCCCCCCCCAATATCTTTTCTGAGGCAGTTCTCGAGTATACATGTACATGTAGTATGTAAATTGCAAGGGATTTTGTCTGTGGTAAAAAAAAAATGTACTAGTAATATGTTTATGATTTAGTATACACTAATTTTGGTTTGTATGCCAGTGTTCTCCCCAGAAATTTTCCATAGAGTTGCAGCAAATTGGCATATAATTAGCATAAATTAACATTTTGTTTGTCATATGGGAGAAATAAAACAAGACCAGTTTTTTTTCCTTTTTTTTTCCTATTTATTTTATGTACAATCTGTATACAATTATTATATACAATAAAAGTGAACTGCATGTTTAGTATTGCAAATGTCCCGCAGAAATACTGAGTTTTCTGTTTCTTTGCTTGGCCCAGCAATCAGCAACTTTATAAAACCCTGTTCGGTCCCCGTAAATTAAACATTGGGTTGATGATTCTTAGTGCTATAATATCTTCCGTTTCTGTTGTTTTCCGGTTAAGTACAACAACTGTTACGAGTCACGATACTTACGCTACTATGTTCGAGCAGTAATAGTTTTTTCTGGCTGAAATTATTCATCTTTATGTATTTTTTTAATCATCGATGTTGTCTGTTCAACACAATTGTGAACAAGTCGAGACAACGGAGGTCTGAATTACGAATTGTCGCCATTGGTATACCACGTAAAATTGAGGCTTTTCCTCCAAGAAATAACACAAGTGTCACTCCAATTTCTTTCTTTCGTTTCTTGATTAGAATTCCTGATTTCTTGATAAATATATTATTTTCCATTTTGCTTCACTTAATTCATCCGGATCTGAGCACGATATGCGATCCGAGTGGGAAGTTCACGCTCACTGCATCTTACGTGGGTGACTCCATCTTGGATTCACGATCACAAGGTCAAAATTGTTCACATCATAAATATATATTTTTTCACATTTTGATGTCAAAAAACAAATACAATATCAAAAATACTGGTAAAAATCAAAACCTAGAATAATAGTACGACTACATTTCTAAAAATAATAATGAAAATACGTTTCGTACACACCGGAAACATGTGGCTTTTGACCCTAAGTGTGACTATATCACTTGCATATGAATATACGTTTGGCACTGGGGCTTGCGGCTTTGTCTTTATAGAACTGCTGTTTTTTAAACGATATCCAACCAATGAGAAACAACAGGGGATTATCCTGGGAAATTGGCGTTATGACAATGCATTTGTAGATTTAACTAGTTAACCAGGAAACTTTACAGTCTGTGAGACACTGAAGAAATCAGATCATGGGATAAATAATAGCATCGTGGAGGAAACACATAGCGTCGCGGGCATATCCGATCGCGTCGCGGCCCGCGACGCTGTTTTGGCCTGGGGAGAACACTGTATGCTTTTCTATTAGAGATATGCTTAAACAGCAAATATGGTATCTATGCTTTATTTTTCTAAATACAGCCTGTCAAAATCGAACCGATTGTCGGTAGCATGTCCGTAGTTATTTGGTGGTATCCAGAAAACAGTGTATGCATGATTTCCTATTCCATTTGTGAGTGTAGCAGTTCCTTGTTTATGCTGAAATCTTTCTTAAATACCTGCTATTTATCCAAGTAGTTGTCACGTGTACACTCATTGCTTATTGTGCCTCAGAACAAAAGACATTAAACGGTTCCTGGCACGAATCACCTCCTGAAACGAGTACTGGTATTCTGATTCAGCAACAAAGCTGCATGAAAATTCTTTTCTGCAAGTCGTGTGTGGCAAATTGTGAAATTGAAGCTTTATTCTGAATCTGTAGACTGTAAAGACAAGTCCTAATAAAATATGATATTCATATATGCATATTTACAAAAAAAAACATTCAGATTCTTTTAGTGCTGTTAATTTTTGAAGAAGTTCTTATTTTAAGAGGAAAATTAGAATTTAAATTCAGTTTCATTACTAATTATCTTACAGACTTGACCTTTTTACCACCTTTTTACTTTCTCGCCCAAATTTTCTGCACTTTTATCTTATATTCCCCTAATTTTAGAGCCAACAGACAAAATTTGAGTCAATTTCCAGTTTTTACTCATAAAATTTGTCTATTTTTATCCCAATCTTCTGAAAGAAAGGGCAGACTATAAACTATTTTGTGAATTTGTGATGAAAAAAGGGAACTGATGATGAAAAAGTTAATGTATCAATGAACATACTGCGCCTGTGTTAGGGATGTTTTCAAGTTTTCAAAGTGCGTCAAAAAACAGAAGGCATTCCATATAGGATCATACACCTCCCCCCAGTAC